GTGCTGTGCTAGCCCCAGGGTACCCATTTCAAACACCATTATAACCAATAACGGTGATTGGTGGCCACGGGGCTGGTGAGCCACGGGTGAGACAGACTGGGGGTCGGGGACTGCAAAGATGGCTGTCAGCAAGAGCGCTGACAGCATGTGTGCCTGGGTTCAGATCTCGGCCCCCACCTCAGCACCTGAGTGTGGCCGTGTCTGGGCCTGTGACCCCTCCGCTAGGGCAGACAGACACAGGCTGGCAGCTGGGGCAGGGTACTGACGCCCTCCTCTGGCTTCGCTGTGCATGTGCACATGCCCCACTCACAAAATACATTCATGCACACACACATGCATAAACGCACAGACTGTACAAGAGTGAAGCGCCGCTAGCGCGGTGCCATGGATGAAGTGTTGTTGGGATACCGCCGGCCCGGAGCGGCGCTCAGAGGTCAAGAGCACTGGCTGCTCCTCCAGAGGTCCTGAGTTCAATTCCCAGCACCACATGGTGGTTCACAACCATAAGATCTGGTGTCTTCTTCTGGCCTGCAGGTGTACATGCAGACAGAACATTGTATACATAATAAATAAATAAAATATTAAAAAAAGATACCGGCTTCTTTCCATGGGATCTGCTTTCAGGTATTTGATAACATTGTGAAGGCCCCAGAGTTGGCTCTAAAGAGGTTAAGGGACTGACAAGGAAGGAGTGAACCAAAGGCTACAAGAAGCATAGGATTCTATAGCACTCTGACAGAGAGCTGGTGTGTGCATGTGTGTGGAGTGGAAGTTTTGCTTTCTTTAAAAACAGGTTTTTGTTTTAAATGTGGGATGTGGCATTGTTTTTACTTTGTCCCCAGATGATAATTGCCTTGTGCAACTCAAAGAGGGGCATGGCCTTTGCCAGCTGGAGAGGGTGTAAATACGAGCCCGGAGAGAAATGGATGTTTTGAGGAATGCTTCTCCGAGAAGGAAGAAGGCTGCTCTGCTGCTTAGCTGAGCCGTGCCACAACCCTAACTGCAGGAGCTGAGTCTAAAGACATCCACATCCCTGTTCCTTCCAACCTTCTTTCTCTCCTACTTACTGTTGGGCGGGTTGGTCAAGGAAGGGAGAGGTATAAGAAAACCCAGATAAAAAATAGTTTAAAACTATGAGGCTCAAACCCATGACCCTGAGATTAAGAGTCTCCTGTGTGTGTGTGTGTGTGTGTGTGTGTGTGTGTGATGGAATAATTTAAATATATGGCATTAGTAACTTCCTGAATGACCCTGACCATAACTTGTTAGAAGGTAGTGATAACGCAGTTAGGAAGGCAGTGCTTCAGCAGTTAAGAGTGCTTGCTGCTCAGTCTTGAGGACTGGAGTTCGGATCCCAGTCCCGTGTAACAAGTTGAGTATCTATGCGTGTCTGCAACCCCAGCCTGCAGGGAGAGGAGGCAGGAAATGCCTGGAACTGGCTTCCAGCCTGGCCAAGGAAACACCGGCCCCAAAATTCAGGGAGAAAGCTTACCTCAAAGAAATAGGTGGAGATTGATTTTAAAAAATGATACTTGATGTCCTGTTTTTGCCTAAGTGTGTGTGCCGAGGCTCATGCACCTGCACATGCACACACGCACACACACATGTTCACACACACACAAATAAATAAATAATGGGAAAAAGCAGTAGATGTTTTCTTAAGCTGAGCATGGTGTGGGGACTCATACCTAAAACCCTAACACACAGAAGACTAATGGTGGGCTCCAGCTTGGGCCTCATGGTGAGCTTAAGTCTGGGCTCCACAGAAAAACCCTGTCTGAAAATAACAGAACAAATGGTCCAGCAGAACCGATCATTAGGTAAAGCTTCTACTGTCAAGACTGATGACCTGGGGGCTTCCTTTGTAACGAGCAGGTAGCACTAACTTTAAAAGGGTTATTTTTCAATGTGTGCATCTCTCTGTGTGTGTGTGTGAGTCTGTGTGTGTGTGTGTGAGTCTGTGTGTGTGTGTGTGAGTCTGTGTGAGTCTATGTGAGTCTGTGTGTCTGTGTGTGTGTGTGTGTGTGAGACTGTGGGTCTGTGTGTGCGTCTGTGTGTTTGTGTGTGTCTTTGTGTGTCTGTGTGAGTCTGTGTGTGTCTGTGTGTGTGTCTATGTGTGTCTGTGTGTATCTGTGTAAGTCTGTGTGTGTCTGTGTGAGTCTGTGTATGTCTGTGTATGTCTGTGTGAGTCTGTGTGTGTCTGTGTGTGTGTCTGGGTGTGTGTCTATGTGTGTCTGTGTGAGTCTGTGTATGTCTGTGTGAGTCTGTCTGTGTGTGTCTATGTGCGTCTGTGTGAGTCTGTGTATGTCTGTGTGAGTCTGTGTGTGTCTGTGAGTCTGTGTGTGTCTATGTGTGTCTGTGTGAGTCTGTCTATGGGTGTCTGTGTGAGTCTCTGTGTGAGTCTGTGTGTCTGTGTGTGTCTGTCTGTGTCTGTGTGTATCTGTGTGAGCCTGTGTGTCTGTGTTTTTGTGTGTTTCTGTGTCTGTTTGCCTCTGTATGTCTGTGTGAGTCTGTGTGTGTCTACGTGTGTCTGTGTGTATCTGTGTGTCTGTGTGTGTCTATATATGTCTCTGTTTCTGTGTGTTTGTGTGAGTCTGTGTGTGTCTGTGTGAGTTATGCCCACATTTTCAGGTGGCTCATGGAGTGCAGTGAGGGCTAGAACAAGCTTACAGCTGCCTGCAGCTTCAGCTCAAGAGAGCTAATGCCATCTTTTTACTTCCTTGGGCACTATTCATATGTTCAAAAAAGCAGACACATGCTTGAAAAGAAATTTAAATCTTAAATCAAAGAAAAATAGAAAGCTAGGACTAGGGAAACCAGATTATTGTAACACAGCACTTGCCTAACATGCATGAGGTCCTAAGTTCAATTCCCAATATAGGTTAAAAAGAAATAAAGAGGGAAAAGAGACAAGAAAAAGCAAAGATTTCACAGTGCTCTACATGACCCACCATAGCTATGTGACAGGTGTTTTCCTCACACCCTGCTCTCAACATACATGCAACCTTGAACTTACAGGCAGGCTGTTGGCGTGTGGCCCTCCTGCCTCAGCCTCCCAAGCAGCTGGGATTGCAGCCCTGTACCAACAGACTTGGCTAGGTTTTGCTTCCACCTGATTTTCCTCTCACTTTACAGCTGACATGAGTTTGGGCAGGGCTGACAACAGAGGTGTCTAGATATGAAAGGCCCTTCACCTTTTGTAAAAATCTGACTCTAAAGTAAGCCTGGGAAGGGGTTAAACTCTGGAGGGTCAAGAGAGGGTGGGGCTTCTCCAGCTGATGGGGGAGATTGTCCTGCAGGTCCAGCTGTGCACACTGGGCAGCTAGGGAAGTGACAGGCCGACGGATACAGGAGTGTTGGGAGGCTCTAGTGTCAGAATGCCCATGTCTCAAAAAAGAGGCATAATAACCACAGGGGTCAGAGTGTTACCTGGCCCCATCCAAAGGTGGTGTGGTTGTGGGAGTGGTGGGTGCAGGCAAGACACCTCACATGGGACTCTATGGATGCTGAGTGTTCTATGAACTCTACACAGCTTTTGACAGAGGGGATTCCCTATGAGCGAGCATCTGACGTCAAGTTTTTTGCTAGCCTTCAGGTATAGGGGCTTGAAGTAGAGATCACATTTAAACAGGCATTTTATATTGCAGTACGCTGCATACTCTGAGTTTGCAGGCTAAGATCACCCCTGATTGCACAAAGCCTGGTAGGCTCCCTTGTCTTCACCAACCCAGAAGGACTGAGAGGCAGATGCAGACCCTTGGACAATTTTGTAAGTGGTAAATGTGTGGGGAGGGTGTGCTGCTGTCACTAACTCCGAGTCCCTGCCTTCCTTGCCCTTCCTCCAGGATCTGCTTCCTGCTTTCTCACATTATCATGGCTCATCACTGGGTTTTCCACCCCTGCCTGGGGACAGGAGGGTCTCTGCTCTCAGAAGAGGTAGAGAGAAGCCTGGTTGGAGTACGTGAAGGGAAGATGGAGTTATGCTTGAATCCTGAGCTTCCAAAGACCTGTCCCAGGAGACTTGGTCCTTGGCTTCCAGAAGCTAAAGGAGGGGTTGAGGAGTGTTCAGTGGGGGTACTTGCTGGGGAACTGAAAGGACCTGCGTTTAGACCCCCAAGCACCCACACAGAAGCCAGGCATGGCTACATGTTCCTGTCATGCTGGGACTACGGGGTGGGACAGGGTGGTCCTGGAAGCTTGCTGGCTACCCAGCCTAGCCAAGCGCGAGCCCAGGTTCAAATGAGAGAACGTCCCAAAAAAGAAGGCTGAGAGCTACAGAGGAAGACACCTGCTGTCCTCCTCTGGTCCCTTCATGTTCCCCCACAAATGTGAATACAACTCACAACACACACAAACACACACATACACACGTGCACATGTGCAAATTAACAACAATAGAAGAAATTAAAGGAGCCCGAGGACTCTAGGTTCTAGCCACAGGAGAAGAGTGGAAAAGAGAGGGGGAAAAGGAGGAGGCTTTCCTAACTGGAGGCAAGCTAAGGGAGGCAAGGGGTCCAGACTGGGTTGGGAAGAAATCACTCTGAAACAAAAGAAGAGGGTGGGGCTGCAGTCAGAAGGGGCCCTCCGGGTTCTCAAGAGGATCAGGCCACTTTTCACTCCTGGAGTAAGGGTCCAGGATTAGGGGAGGGAGGCCTCAGAGGCCTGGAGAGCCATGGAGTGTGTGTGTGTGCATGTGTGCGTGTGTGGCATGTTTATGTGATTGTGTGTGCATGTGTGCATGGGTGTGAGTATATGTATGTTCCCACTCATGCTCTGGTTCTATTATCTTTCTATTGACAGTTCCCTCAGAGACCTTGGCTCACACTGGTCTTTAGCCTCCCTCTACCTGATCAAGGGCCTTGGTACCTTGGAGATAAAGTACTGGAGTGGGTAGGAATGAGGGGCTCACGGTTCTGAGCGTGGCCCCTAGAAAGCATGGCCTCACCGAAATAGCACCGACTCCCTGTGGACAGAAGCGCCCAGGAACAGAGGCATATGGGTTGAGGCTGCAGCAGCTTTTTATTCAGTTAAGTATAAATCATATCTGCAAGGAAAAGGGTAGGGTGCCGTGGACAGCAAGGGCAGGTCTTGGGACCTGAGTGACCTCTTAGGGAGGACAGTCCTGCTGCCCTCTTCTTCATTTTCTGCGAGATTCTCTTTCTTCCCTCTCTGGGTCTGTCCTGGGAAAGGCAGCTCAACCACATAGGAAAGGGACGGCCATGCAGATGGATGGTTGAAGCAGGACAAGGGTGTGATAGGGCCAGCGTGGTGTGGGTGCTCTGGGGCCCCTGAGCATTTCTGTTTTGTAACTTCCTCTTTGCCCGTGAGTTGGAGCTCGAAGCTGTGATGAAGTTCAAGGAGGGTCTCCAGGCTGGTCACTGGCTATGGCCCTCTTGGAGTCTGCTCAGACCTGGGAGGGTAGAAGAGGGGCATGAGAAGCAGGTCTTGGAAGCTCCTCTTTGCTTCCCGACAGCCCTTTTCGCATGCTCACCCCTTGCAGCCTTTGGAGCCCTTTCCCTTCTTTCCAGACTTGGAGGTCCCTCTGTTCTTCCTGCAGCCCGGGCGCTGCTTCCCCGGGGCTGGAGGCCGATCCAGGCGTTTCATCAGCTTCTGCACCCAGTCTTCCGCAGGGTTTGCACACAGGTCGGCCTGAGAGTGCTTCCGGGGTGAGAACCTGCGGGTTGGAGGTTAGCAAGCCTTCTTCTTAGTCTGGCCCACTGTACCGCCCCAGCCCAACCACCACACCAGCCTTCGGGCACTCACAGGATGGCCGGGATGGGGCAGCCTAAGCTGGGTTCTTGCTTCCTGTATCCTCGGACAATACTGTAGGGAATCTTCCTCTGGCTGTACTTAAGGCAGCAGTCCTGGCCCCCTCCATCACTGCCTGCAAGGTAGGAGCACAGACCCTGAGGCGGCTTGCAAGGTGTCTCTTTGGCCCCTTTCCCCAGCTAAAGCCTCTCCCTCCTTGGTACCTTCTGTCCAGGGGACGCAGAGAGCCAGGAGAAGACTGAGGAAGCTCAGAGCCAGCGTCTGAGCCATGGTTGTGGTTGGGTTGAGGATGAGACCAGCGCTGTAGGTGAAACGGACAGCTCCGAGTTGGGGTCTGTGTGTGGGCTGCTACTGGCTCGCTGCCTATTTATGTATTCGGAGACTTCCCTTGCCCCCCCTCCTTTTCCTGCCAGCTGGATCAGATGGCGCTAATGTAAGCTTCTCTAGCCCACAGTGAGCTCCCGCCTGTCTCCTCATCTCTTCCTGGTCCTTCCAGCCACTGTCCCCGGAGCATGATCGCCTCCTCACTACCCTCCAGGCTGCACACATTTCCTCCCCTTCCAGCAACTGTCTGTCCAGTTAATAACTAAGAGTTCTTTACATATCTCTGGTCACAGCCTTCATTTAGATTCCTGATGTGCAAATGTTTCTTGTCATTCTGGGTCTCCTGTTGGTAGTCACAAAATATGTTTCGTGAAGCACAGTTTCCCGCTCCTCCCTATCAGCTGTGATGTTATCACAGTACCACATTTGAAAAATCATTTCCAGATCCAGGACCATGAAAGTTTCCTCTGCTTTTTTTTTTTTTTTTTTTTTTTTTTTAATCTTTATGTTTCTGTGAATGGAAGCGTGGGTGAGGAAGTAGGGAGCTCAGGTCCTCTGCAAGAACAGTACTGAGCCCTCTTATGTTTTGTTTTGTTGTTGCTTTTTTTTTTTTAAAAAAACTTCTTTTAATTTTTGAGATTATAATGTAATTACACAATTTCTCCATTCCTCCCTAGGGATTCTGATAGAGACTGCACTGAATCTCTGGGCTGCTTAGGTTCATATTGTTATCTTAGGAATTTTCAATTGGCAAATAAGGGATTTAAAGGATTTTTAAATTTTTTAAAAAATAATTTTTAAAATTTTAAAATATTTTAAAAAATAATTAAGTCAATTAATTAACAATATTTTGTATTTTCTGAAGTATAAGTCTTATACCTATTTAAGGTTATTTATAAGTATTCTGTTTGCTGTTATAAATGTAATTGTCTTCTTGATTACCTTTTATGATTTTGTTGTTGTTACTTTTTTGAGATAGGGCTTCTCTATGTAGTTGTTCTGAGACTCACTATGTAGACCAGGCTGACCTTCAGTTCGCAGAGCTCCACCAGCCTCTGCCTCCTTCGTGCTGGGATTATTAATTGCTAATGGAGAGATGTCCAGCTGATATTTTTTGTGTTTTGGTTTGTATCTTCAAGCTTTGTTTAATATATTAAATGTGTGTGTGTGATTTCCTTAAGATTTTCTGCATATAAAGTCATGTCATATATTAATAATGATAAGTTTTCTTCTTTTAATGGATCTCTCTCTCACTGTAACTTACTCTGTTGGGTTGAAGTGAGCATGGCATTTTGTCTTGCTCCTGTTCTGAAGAGAGTTCACTCTTTCCTCATTGAGGATGATGTTCACTGTGGGTTTTTTCTAGATCCTTTGTTATGTTGGGGAAGTTTCTTTTCATTTTCAGTTAAATGAGTGTTATTTTCTCATCATGAAAGGGTATTGGATTTACCTTTTTTTTAAAAAAAGAAGAGTTTTTTAATAAACTAATTTATTTTTTATGTATATGAGTGCTCTATCTGCATACCAGAAAAGGGCATCAGATCCCAGTATAGATGGTTGTGAGCCACCGTGTGGTTGCTGCGAATTGAACTCAGGACCTCTCAGAAGATAATGTTCTTAACCATCTCTCTAACCCGGATTTGTCTTTTTTTTTTTTTTTTTTTTTTTAATCATGTGGTAAGATCATATAGATTTTCCCTTCATGTTAATGTAACTTTTTTATTTTGAACCGTTGTTGAATCCTGAGAACAAATTCTACTTGGTCATAGTATATAATACTTTCCTATGCTGCTGATTTTTTTTCATATTTTGTGGAGGACTTTTGTGTGTTCACTTGTAAGGGATGTGAGTTAGTCTATAGTTTTCCAGTTGTGTCTTTATTCAGCCTTAATGTCAGGTATTGCCAACTTTGGAGAATGTGTTAGAGAATGCCATTTCTTCAGATTTTGAAAGCTTTGAAAATGATTGATGCTGAAACTGTTCTAAATGTTTGGTAGAATTCACATTTGTGCCATTGGACCTGATATTTTCTTAGTTTGGTATTTTGAAATTGTTATTCCTTATTCAATCGCCTTACTTGGTGTGGATCCATTTGTGTATTTCTTCTCTAGTTGGTTTTGGTAGTTTTTGTGAGTTTGGAATTTTTCCATTTCACTTAGGTTGTCTAATTTGTTGGAAAAGAGTTGAACATAGCACCATCTTTTTTGTTTTTGTTTGTTTATTTGTTTTTATGTTGAGACAGGGTTCCCTGGAACTCAATCTGTAGACCAGCCTGGACTCAAACTCACAGAGATCAGCCTGCCTCTGCCTCCCAAGTGCTGGGATTAAAGGTGTGTGCCACCACGCCCAGTTTATTGGACTCTCTCACAACCCTTTTTTATTTATGTCTAATTGTAGTGATGTCCCTACTTTCATTTCTGACTTTAATGACTTGATCTTTTAAATTTTTAAAAATTACTTTATTTCATGTGCATGGGTGTTTTGCCTATATGAATCTGTGCATGTGTGTAGGCCATGCTCTTGGCCGGAAGAGGATGTCAGATCCCCTGGAACTGGAGTGACAGAGGGTTGTGAGCCACCATGTGGGTTTTGATAATTGAGCCCAGGTCCTCTGGAAGAACAGCCAGTGCTCAGAACCACTCAACTGTCTCTCCAGCCCTTGCACACAATTTTAAAATTATTTTTTTGAGGGTTTTATCACTTGATATAACCCTGGTTGTTCTGGCACAAATATGTAGATTGGGCTGGCCTTGAATTCACAGAGATCCACCGGCCTCTGCCTCCTGAGTGATAAGGCTGGTATTTAAATTTTTTTCTTTATCATCTTTCTAGTCTTTATTTAATTTATCTCTGCTTTAATCATATCACTTCCTTCTTTGTACAGATTTGGATTTAGTTTGCTCCTCTTCTGGACAGTCACTGGAAGGAGCTACCCACATTATGGTGTGTCTGCCCACCGCAGCTAACACAGTCAGGAAAACTGCTGGAGCCAGAGAAACTGCTTTATGAGTAAAAACATTTGTCTTGAAGCCTGATGTCCTGAGTTCAATTCAAGAGCCTGTGAGAGGAAGGCATTTGCTTCTGTATGCATCTGTAGTAAGATGGGAGACAGAAACAGAAAACTTCACCTCAACGAGGTGGAAGGCAAAAGCTTTCACCCTGAAGTTGTTGTCTGACCTTCACACATGTACTGTGGCACATGCAAGCTCACGTGTAAGTGCAGGCGCGCGCGCGCACACACACACACACACATTAGTTAATAAAAAAGGAAAAAAAAAACCCTTCATAGATATTCTCAGATGCTAACCCTAATCACAGGTGTGACTGGAGGCAGAGGCTTGGAGAGCGCAGCGTGGGTGTTTTTTTGCTTTCCTAGAGTCCAGCTACAAGCAGGTCAGAGGGACAAAAAGTCTTATATTTGGCTTGCTTGGTTGAGTCTTGATGGTGAGTTCATATAGCCTGTTTGGGACTTCATCTTTTCTGTTGTGGCCACTGCATTTCTTTACTGCTGTCAGAACCCAGATTCTTCTGGCTTCCAACCTGAAGGCCGGTGGCTCTCCTGGACAACTCTAGGCCATCACTGCCAGCCTGGGATACTGAGATAAGCAGCCCTGTGAACAGCAGTTGCCAGGCTCTTGGCCTCTCTAGTGTGGAGACAGCCATTGCTGAGCATCCCAGATAGTACCCGATACGTCAGACTAATGAATATCCTTCTTTAATGTGCAGTCATCATATCTGTTTGGCCTCCCCAGAGAACCCTACTACAGTAACCTGTTGCAGAGTTTTCTAAATAAGAAGATGCATGCGCCTAGAGCAAGGTATGTGCACGACAACCATCTTGTCTTAGACTCTTTTCCAAACTGGCCGCACTTCCGAATCACCTGGAGAGCTTGTTAGAAATAATCAGTTGTTATCCCAGGTCAGCTTGGACTCTCAGACAGAGCCAGATAACCTGCATTCTTGCCAGGTCATCCAGGTAATTCCAAACATTTAATAGGTGAGGCTGAAAGAGCCTGGGCCAGTTCTCTTCCCATCCCACACTCCAGATGGGCAAAGAGCTTGTGGGAGGGAACAAAGGTGGTCTGAGAAAAGCCATGTCCTCTCCCCTCTCCTGAGAGAGGTTACTTTCCTGCCTAGAACAGAAAAAAGGGGGGAGGGGAGATGAAGAGTAAAAAGAACACTGTGTGGCTTCCAGTCCTAAACTCTCAGGTGCTTCTCTCGCCTAAGATCCTGTTGGCCCTTGTCTTTATTTATGCTCTTATTTGTGGCATATGGTTCCCCCGCAGGTCCCATCATTGCCCAGGTTCCTAGAACCTGAAACCTCTTCCTAGAATAGACCAAGAACCTCTCCTGTCAAACTTGAGCCTGCAGAGGTAGAACAGCCTAAAAGAGATGCTCCATCCTCGACTTTCAGGGGTGTGTGTGTCTTCCTGCTTGTTCCTCGGCCTGGAGTCTAAATGAAGGGCCTTAGATGGGGTAGATGAAGATTTGATGGGGTTGAAAACTTTGCTGGGCCAAAGCCAGGGGAGGACACTTCTGCCTTGAAAATAAAGGGGCTGGCAAGTTCCTGCCCCTACCTGTCCACATTGTAGACATTGTAGTGGCCCCAGGAAGGGGTAAGGCCAGCAGAGAGGTTAGATGAAGAGGCTACCTTTCCCTAGGACTCCAGGAACCCATACCCAGTCAGTCTTCTACCCTTAGCTGCTGGCCTAGCCTCATCCCTCCCCACAGTCCCATTAAAGCCTAACAAGCCCAGAGATCTAGCGTTTACATCCTAGAACCTCGTTGGGTCCTGGGGCCTTCTGCTTGTGAACAGCCAGTGGGGAAAGGACATAAAGACCAATGGCTGTCAAGCAATCTGAGATTCCAGTGTCCACTTATGTGTTCCAGTCCTGAACGTGAAGGTTCTGACTCCTCAGAAACCTGGTTACTGTTTGACAGCCCCACCGAGGCCAGGAACAGAGGATTCCTGCCCTGTACGGGGCGTAAAGAGTAGGGCAGG